TATTTGACTAAGGTAATATCAGAGTTATTCAATGAACATGTCATTACAAATAAAAAGCATCAATATATCGACTTTGGTACGGAGCATATGTATTTAATTGGTATCAGAGCATATTAAAGTCCTGGTACCGCCCACCCCACTCTCTGAAAGGAACAGTCTGAGGACAGATTTTGTCAAAATGCAGAAGGAAAAAATAAAATTAAAAATCCTTTCTACTCACATAACAGCAACTGTACAACACCCTAAGATTTCTCTTATTTTGGTTTTTATTGAGAGAAATTGAGGCAACAGCCTACATGTATTCAATAAAGAGTTTTTTTTTTGGCCAAAAGTCACATGAAGTATCTGCAAAGCCTTTGATCAGAGTGACAGTCATCATACAACTCATTTATGGACACATATCTGTGTTTCAGCCTTTTATTTACAGAAATGAATGTTTTATTTTGCAGAGCTGCAGCTAAGCGCCTCTTCTGGTGGGAGAACAGATTGTTTTAGGGATTTGGCACAGCCTGTCGTAAAGTATGAAAAAAACAAGCCTTTTTTTCTTTTTTGTTTTAAAGTAAATTTCTTTTTTTTTGTATCCCAAACAGAAAATGAAACACAAATCAATTAAAAAAATTTCACTCATCCCTTTTTGACACTAAGAATGAGAAACACATTGCATTTTCAATTTGATTTCTGGATTCTAAAACAAAAATCAAATAGCTACTCATTTAATGTTTTTTAATATCCGTTCCTAAAAGGATAATTCAATGACCAAAATATACATGTTTTTTAGGGGTTCTTTTTTCCATGAGAAGTCTTGACAAACTCACACACAGGGTTCCACCTCAGGCCAGTAAAGTACAGAATTTGCTTTTAATATTTTACAGATCCAAACAAATGAAGGGAAAACAAAAATAGCCTACATTTCCATTTTCAGACTTTATTTCCTATTTTAATTGTATGAACAAATTAAATTTTTTTGAAGAAACAAGAGAGACACAACATGTTTTTTTTTTATCATCGATAAGTATATTGTTGGACACAGTGAAACACCTGAAGTTGTATGTTACTAAATTAACCTTCTGTTGCCCATCCCAAATCACAAAACAATTCAGCTGCTGTTTTCCAGTTTACTCTGATTTACAAAATAAACCTTTTGTTATTTTAAAGAAGATTTAAATCTTGTGAATAAGAACATAAAGATGTTAAAAAAAACAGGCATTAAGTTTCCCCCCATCAACAGTCTGTGCTGTCCATTTAAAGGCACAAACATTGACAGAATTTATTCATAATTTTTAAATAAACTCTGGACAGCAGTTAACACAAACTACTATTTAACATTGTAGAAGTTAAAACAATACTTTTCACAAAAGCAGTTTTCCACAGTTATGTTTTTCTTTTTTCATTTTAATTTCACTAAAATAGTAAGAACATGACAGTAACATACTTCGCTGAAAAGGAAGGATAATTCAGATAACTCTCTGTATGGGAGCAGAAGAAGCTGACTGGTTGGACTCAGCTGTTTTTACAAACATCAGGATCTATTAGTCTTGTAATGAAGCTGAAGCAACATGTGTTAGATGTGTTGACATGAACTGACATTATATTAAATAATTTTATTTTGTTTATTTATGTTCAGTCACAATGAAGGAAAAAACCTCAATACATCTCTGAGTTTTGCGTCTGTTGCTTAATTTATAGAATCAAATGAGAAAAGTTCATGTTTTCATTTTAAGAAGACTAAAGCTTATACTGTAGTTTTTTATTTGTGTCATCTGCAGCTAAAAGGCAAAGGCAAACTATATTGTTGTATTTTTGCAAGTGTGTGTGTTAAAAATATCTCATGTTGCAATTAATACATTTTATTGAAAATTCAAATCAATAGATGTACACCAACAATTGAATAACTATGGGTGTCAATCCACCACAACCTACAATTATTGGCTTTTTAAATTTATTTCCTAACCGTAAAAGGAAACATGGTGAATTATATATAAAAAAGATTACATTTCAATATCAAAGTAAAAAATGCCCACTCAAAAAAAAAGACAAAAAGCAAACAGATAAAATTAGCAGCCTAGCATTCCTTAAAGACCTGTCACACATCGCCTTTTAATCTTGGACTTTTACACTGAAATGAAGATGAGGAAGGATGAGCTCTAACTGGTTTGATCAAAGTGTGATAATAATGTGTGATCTCATAAACATGTGATGCTCAGAGTATGGGTTGTGAATCACTCTCAGCTACTGCCACATCAGGTTTTAGGTCAATTTCTATAAAACTGACAAAGGTATTTCTGGTGGTTGTCCTTAACTGGACCAACATCAAAAGTCAGTCAGTTGTAGATTATTACTTTTTTTAATGTTTTATTAAAATCCATTTAGTTATTCAAAAATATTTTGCTAACAGACAAACAGGATGGACTAAAACAGTTAATGCTAAAGCTGTTGTGAATGAACAACCACATCAGCACAGTTTCTCCACCACAAACTGAGTTGTTGACACTGTTGTATTTTGACAAATGTATGAGCTGTGGTGGCCATCTTCAGTTCAGAAGCATGTAGCTGTAGATGTACCTTCAAAGGAATATTTTCAGCAAGATATATTACATTCCTTCAGGCAGTTCAGGCGATAATAGGTAATAGACAGAGTTGACTTCAGATACCGGCAACCTTTAAACAAGGCCTTGTGTAATCTTGTAAAGCTCAGAGCAGGTGTTGGGGAGCAGTCTCATCTACAACCACAGTAAATTCTCTGTCAGTATCTGGAGTATTGACTGGCTTATAACCAGTTTTGTGTTCTTTAAGGTCAGTTGGCCTTGGTGACCATCTTTCTGCTGGTCCAACAGGCCAGACGGTCCTATCCACATGAGTTACGAGCTTTTTGTTTTTGCTGTGAATTTATGTGGGGTTAGCCGAACCTTGTAAACATTGTTACTGAACAGTAATTAGTTAAATAAAATCTGTATATTGTTATACAGAACCAAACAGGTAGAATCTTCTAATAAGTTATTTTTACTGTCTT